CTGATCTTTTGCAAGAGAGTGCAGATAAATGCCCCAAGATGGCAAATTTCTTAGCTGGAATAACAGTCACTTGCAAAACATTGAGTTAGCCAGGGAGTCAATGAATTCCAGAAAACGTCATTTTTAGGTGCCTGTGATAATTGTGAAGAGGACAAGCCAAAAGAAATAACAGTAATAAATGATGGATGTGTTTTGTGTCACTTTAACCACTGTGGCAGCCAGGTTTAAAGTATGGTAGTCCCTCTAAGGAACCAGTCCTCCTGAGGGCAAAGTGCTGGATCTCCTGCCTGTTGGTTCCGTTGCTCATCATTTAGTGGCTCTCTTCTTGGAGTAAGCCTTCCATGTTTTTTGTTTTGTTTTGTTTTGTTTTGTTTTGTTTTTTGGTTTTTACGAGACAGGGTTTCTCTGTATTGTTTTGGAGGCTATCGGTCCAGCCCGGCCTCGAACTCAGAGAGATCCGCCTGCCTCTGCCTCCCGAGTCCTGGGATTAAAGGCGTGCGCCACCACCGCCCAGCTAAGCCTTCCATTTTTTATGGCTGCTCCCACATAAGGAACAACATAGCTCCTGGACATTGGGGGCAGCTCTGACATGGTTATATAGATGCTGTAGGATATGATTGGTATGGATGTGCTCATGTATGTAAACGCTTTGCAACAGATACTCAGAGGCAAGGGAGATGGGTATAGCACAGTCCCGAAGGCTCCCTTGTAAAGGGACATTAAGGTCACACAAAGGGAAGTTCTAAGGTTGGGGGAAGAAGCAGCTGTAAAGGAAGTAGATGGCTGGTTCTAGAAGACAGGAAGCAGGAGTATCACAGAGCAGCTTTGTTGCTGAACCAAGACTCAGTGTGGGCTGGATTATATTGTTTCCAGATGTTTGGAGGTACAAGTCTGGGCCCTTCCAGCCTTAGCAAGCTAGACCAAGCCACCTCAAGTCACCAGGTGGAAAGACAAGCATGGAGTAGTGAAAATGAGATAAAGGAGGCGTTCAATGTGGTCTAAAAACAGTAGTCCTGTAACAGCCCCTCGAGTCTAACTTTGGGATCCTTATATAAAGTTTAGTTTAACAGAGGGCAAGAAGAATACATAGCCAAGCAATTCTGGCCCAGGTGTGGCTCTGCCCACCACTGACCATTCACTGTGTCTTCTCAAGTGTTCTGCATGGTGTTCTGACAAGTTACATACTGGGACATCTCCTGGGAGACAAGTCCTTCCTCTGGCTGGCATTAGGCCTGACTTTTTCCTTCCTCTATTATGATTTCTGGAGACATCCAAGTTCTTGGGTTCCATTTTTTTCAATAGTCTAATATCCCAAAGAACACAACTGTCTCTCTTGAGAATGGCTTTGTTCCTGCCAGGACAGCTCCTTGCTTCATGTCTTCCTGGGCTTTCCACTCTTTGCTTCTGCTTTCTCTCCTCTGTGTCCTTCTCTCCTTCCTTGGGGACACCTGCCAGATGTTTCTCTCTCTGCAGTCCTACTTGACCTCCAAAACACGAGGCAGTGAACTCTTGTTGTGGGTTCGATTGAAACACTCTGCAGTCAAAGTTAAGGTTCTTCCCTCACACTGCACTGATGCCATGATGCCATTCCTTCATCCTTCCACCGACTCGGCACGGGTTACTGAGCACAGACTGTCACCAAACACCCCGCAACACAGATTAGCTGAGCTTCTTTTGGTCCACGGGAATGAAGGGCTATGATTTGACACCCCATGGCAAAGATCATATGGCTCCTAGATGAACATTGCAGCATTCGGTGGTAACTCATCAAAAATGGTATTTCTGAGCCCAACTCAGACATGCTGATACAGGACATGTGGGGTATGGCTCAGCATTCTGCCTTAGGAAGTCATGCTGGTGATTTACAGTTTGCAGTAGTTTGAGAATTAAATTGGATGAGATCAAAATACTAGCAGAATAGAGCTCTTCTAAATATTTGATTCCCAACAGTCACAAAGTCGTTTAGAATGCAAAGTTTCAAGTGAAAAAGACTTCCGTTGGGCTGCTGGCAGCTTTCAGTCTTCTTGGTACAGATGCCAAAGATGCAAGGACAAGGTCTGCATAGTTGCCCACAGCATGCCTGAGCAGCTTCCAGGGCCAACTTCTTCTTTATGGTCTTATGACTGCTCTTCTTCCATGCCCATTAATGACAAGATCTTTGGGGATCAGGGTTCCTACTGAACCCTCTGTGAACTGCCCAGCATTAGAAGGGAATATTCAATTCATACAAGGAAAAGAGTTGCCCTCTGAAGGAAGAGAGCATGTGGAATGGCTGCAGTTTCACTCAACTCAACGTTGCTCTTGGTTGGTGGTCAAGTTCTTTTAGGAACTGCATCTGATTGATGGTGGCTGAGGCTGCAAAGGTTGTAGGTATATTCTTATAAATCCAAGTCTGTGCACAATTTCTCCAAAGGTGGAGTTCCAGCAGCTTGCTTTTATTTGTTTATTCCAAATAGTTTTTGATAATCAGGGGTAAGAGATGGAGGGGGTATCCTTGAATATAATGGAGACTTTCTTGCCTCAGGGGAGTATAGTTAAGGGGTCTAGGATCCCAGACAATCAACACACCAAAGTCACCATAGTCAGTGGCTTCTGGGTCATCTGTCTCTTGAACTCTCAGACAATAGAAACAAAGGGTGTGTTTTTAAAAGGAATTTTATTACAGTTGATACCTTAAGAGAAAGGGAGAAAAAATCCTTTCATGTAGAATAAGCTCTAAGAAATTACATCACCAGTGACCCTGTTTTAAAACATGAGGGGTGAGCTGGGCAGGCCAGTTGTCCCACACATGAGGTTTTCATGTGACTCTTCATCTCCATGTCTGGTCTGGGGTCACTGGACACCTTTAAAGGCTAATGAAACTTTTGACAATCCATAGGTTCCAGCATCTTAGTGTTAAGCACATGAAAGGTCTGGGCAGACATGTGGTGAGTGAATGCCTGAATGTTTGCAAAGGCCCTATTTAATTTCTGCTCTGGTCTCCATGTCACAGACAATCCAATGGGCATTTAGTGGTTAAGAATACAGTGGGCAGGCATAATTTTCTGGGTCACTGTCATGCCTTTGTTGCATAGGAATTAGGGCCATTTATTTAAGAAAATTAGTTGACAAGGTGAATAGCACTATTTATAGAGGACAGAAGAAAGAAGGACAAAAATAGTCATGTTGAAAATTCAGGGTCTGGTCCCTGATGTTATGGAAGACTGTTCACAGAAATCAGACACTAATACAATTAACAGAGGCCTGAATTAGTGTGAGGTTTTCTTGTATTTTTAATCTCTCCCTCTCTCTCTCTCTCTCTCTCTCTCTCTCTCTGTGTGTGTGTGTGTGTGTTTGAATGCTAGACAAGTGCTCTACCACTGAGTTACACCACAGTCTCACTCTTTTGCTATTCTTTCTATTTGAATTATAACCAGCATTCTAAAGAGGATATATATATATATTATATAATTTACATATCTTTATAAATTATATATGTATATATAACATATATTTTAACTCGCAGCAGAAGAAATATGTGAAAATTAGGTCAAATTCACAGATCTGTTTTAAAGATACTATCTTAAAAATGTTTTTAAGAGATTACCTTGTGCTCTTTGCAGGAAGCATGGTCCATGGTTGTGTCATGGAGGGCTAATATTCCTCTTGTCTCCATAGGGCAAATGGATAAGCGAGAAATAACACTGTCCAAATGCCACCAAAAGCAGGGTGACATTAAGAAAATGTAGCAGTTTTGCTTGAGTGGATTAATTACACTACCCAGCCAGTCTTCTCTTTCAATACTAATTTGATCTCCATGATGGGAGAGCTAAATAGGATTTTAGAGTTTTTCATGATTTTAAAACCTTGGCTTGGTAAACTGGACGTTTGTTTCAAATAGAAAAGGACCAATTAAGTAAGAGCTGGTGAGAGGCCTAAGTCAGTGAAACCACTAATCTGCCCTTAGAATTATAGGTATCTTGGGGTCTCTGTGGATTGGTAGGTGCTGGCAGGTACAGAGGGCTTGAGAGGTATAATTCTTTGGTTATATGGGCTGAAGTTTCTGTACCACCCGGTCCTACAGCTGTGTATTTAGTCACAAATAAATACACAGAGGCTTATATTAATTATAAACTGCTTGGCCAGTTGCTCAGCCTTTTCATTGGCTAGCTCTTAATTATTAACTGATTTTATTAATCTGTGTATCCCACATGATTTTGGCTTGCTAGTAATGCTTGGACCTCTTGTTTCCTTGACAGCTTCATGGTGCTCTCCCTGACTCCACCTACTACCTTTCTCTATCCCTGTTTGGATTTTCTGCATTGCTAAATCCTGCCTGTCCACTGGCCAAAACAGCTTTATTCATCAACCAATAAGAGAAACATATATTCAAGCATACAGGAGGACATCCCCTTTTTGCGGGATTCCAGCCTGGGTTCCATCACCACTTCAGAGCCCCCAAATAACACACAGAGACTCAGTTACAATACTGTTGCACAATAGGGCTTCTAATTGGCTAGCTCTGTCTTAAGTATTAACCCATAACTACTAATATATATATATATATATATATACACATATATATATATATATATATATATATATATATTTACAAGTTCTTACCTTACTGAGAATGCCAGACTCATATATTCTCTCTTCCCGGGATCACATGGCAACTCCCTACTACCTTTCCCAGAATCCTCCTTCTCTCCTAGTCCCACCTATCTTGATTCCCTATTGACCAACAGTGTTTTATTCATCAACCAATAAGAGAGACATATGTACAGAATGACAACTCTCATCAATCCCCATCATCTCTTTTCTGTCTAAACAAAAAGGAAAGTTTTAACTTTAACATAGTAAAATTATATATGACATATATTCACAGCATGCAAAAGGGAATTCCCCATCGGCATTAATTTTTTTTCTTTAAATCATTTCTTTATATGAATTCATTAATAATTCCCAGAGCTTATTGCAGATGTTCAACTTATCGTTTTGTGAATGTGCTTTTGTTACAGGTTCAGAAAACACCCCAGAGCCCCACTCCCCCAGAGGCAGAACTCCATTTGATTCACTGAGCTGCCTTTTGCAGAGAAATGATATCTTGAAGGAAGGGCAGAAAGTCTGATATTTAAGAATCTTCATGTGTACATTGTGTCTAGTACTTCCCACAGGATGCCTGATGTTCTGTTCTGCAGTGCTGGAGAGGAATAAAAGCCGATTTGGTAAACATGTGCTCTAAAAATATCAACATGATGGGAGGAATGGATTTTTGGGAGAACTCCTCATAGTGGTTCAATTTATATCGACTAGAATAATAGCCCCGATTTAAAATGCTTAAAGTAACATAGGTTCTATCTTTACCAAAAGGTTTAAGAGGTTTGATGAAATGGGGTGCGGCTGCTGAGATAAAGGGATGTTGTTCCACAGATACTTCCAAAACAGACACATGGCCAAGTTGTGCTGTATGGAGTTAGCAAAGTTCTGAGTGAACCTGTATTGCTTTACACAGGTGAGGCCATGTCAAAAGACAATGCATCATTCCCATGGGAATGACAGAGTCTTCCTTGGCAGAGGCTTAGAGAAATGGTAAAGTCTTTTTCAGCTCTAATGTCGAATGATGATAGTGTGTGCAGAAAATTTTCACTATATCTTTCTCCCCTTGCGTGTTTACAGCTTACATGTCTTCATTCCCTCATCACCCCAGTCAAGATTCTAGGACTCAAGCATCGCAAGTTTATTGTCAAGAGACTGTTCCTACGGGGATTAGCCAAACCTGGTTCTTTGTTAAGCTTTATATAGTAACCCTGCCTCCTTGTCTATCTGTATGTAATAACCCTGCCTCCTTGCCTATCTGTACATAATGACCCTGCCCCCTTGTCTATCTGTATGAATGACCCTGCCCCCTTGTCTATCTGTATGAATGACCCTGCTTCCTTGTCTATCTGTATGTAATAACCCTGCCCTCTTGTAACGACTCTGCCCCCTTCTATATCTGTATGCAATGGCCTACCTCCCTGCTCAACTATACATAAAAGACCTGCTGAGCTTCCAGGGTGCTGTGGATTCTCTCTCTGAGACCCCAGACCATCTGATCTCAGCCTTTCTGTCTCTGTATATATGTGTCTTTCTTGTCTTCACTCCCACATCATCACCAGTCAGGGTTCCGGGACCCAAGCCATGAAAGAACGCTGTACCGAGCCAAGAAGTGGAGGGAGCAGGTGAATGGATACATATGACTGTATTCCTTTGAGAGTTGCTGAGTTAGCTGTGGACACTCAACATCACATGGATAGACAGAATGTCTAAAATCAACATGACTGCTGAATTACACAGCCACTATTTAGTTACACATGGAGGGACTCACAAACATTGTAGCAGGACTGACTGCAATTTTTATAGTAATTTTTTGGTTTATATCATACACATATTTCATACTGATGAGGAAACTGAGGCACAGAGGGTTTAAATTAATCTCCTGGGATCATTCAATTAGGAGAGGTCAGTGTAGAATCATATCTTTATATAACTTTATGCTTTATAAAGTCATAACATTATGCTTCTCTCCTATTCAGGAAGGCATAGTTATACTGAGATCCCTTGATGTTTTTTGTACCTAACACAAATGTGGGAAGTCCTGTAGATTTCTCAAGGGTGCCTGGGGTTGCCTATATACAGCCTGTGTAAATCCCCAAACCCACCTCTACCCAAGGCAGCAGAAGCACACTGATCTCTAGGGACTGTGCTTGGGTCACTGAGCCTTTGATCATCCATAGACAGAGGGATTATCCAGCTGCAGTGTTAGTCATTGACCTCCAAGACCTTTCTTCTTGTGTCCTCATGATGCTGCAATAAAGGACTGGTTATCAAGCTGTAAAAGAAAAACAAGATCTCATGTAAATGCCAAAGTTTGGCACCAATGGTCAGTTCTGGATTTTATTTCTTCGCAGTGACTATAGAGAAAGCAAAGTGTGAAATTCCATTTCTGGAGTTAGAGGGTGGGTCCTGAGAGCACTGCTCACAAGTCAGACAATTCCTGGAACAAAGAAAACCATGAAAGGCTAAACATGAACTTAGTAAACTGTGCACAATTCACCTTCAAGGTATTTATTATGTGACTGCTCTCCTGGCTGCTAGAGTCGGAGTCTCACTGCTACACAGCAAATTATCTGAGCTGACAGGGTTTCAAACGTTCCCAAAGAATTTCGGTACTGTAGTGATGTCTGCAATTACAACGTTCAAAGTCTGGTTTTGCCCATGCTGAACAGAGACTTTGAAAGACCACATGTGTCTCCAAAGGTCACCCTGCTATTTAATTCCTGAATGAAGTTTATTTCCTGCTATAAATGACCATAGATTTCTAGCTGAGAAGGGACTTCTTTCTTAGGCTTGTCAGGGTTACTCTGTCAAATTCTAACAAGACTCAGAGAGCACTGGATATGTCTCTATTTTTGCCTTCACTTTTTGGAATTCTAAATTAAGCCACTAAATTGCTGCAGACCCAGGCTAATTGCCCCTGGGTTTAACTTCTCTTTATGGAGACTTGAGGCTTGTTATTACTTTGCATGATGTCCAAATCAGACAGGCAATGGGGTTTCCTTCTTACAAAATAATTGCTTTCTAGTATCCCAATGAGACTCAGTTTGTAACTTGAGAATTTGGGGGAAATCTAAAGCTTTCAATCCCATGTTATGTAACATGATATCTTTGTACAGGATTAGAAACTATGGAAAAATCTAAATACCAAAAGCAATGACATAGCAGGACATGAGCTTGAGCCAACTCACCTCAAATGCCATGAGTCAGTACCTATAGTAGTGGAACCAAGATTAAAAAGAAACAGAAACAGGGGAGCCTCAATTTAAGACCTACTTACTCTGCCCATCTCTCCTGTCATGAAAATCAAGGTGACCCAAAAGTTTCTACAGCATCAATTTGTATCACTGGAAGTACCTCTTCCCCCAATTAATTAGAAAGACTCTTTAGGGATACAAAAAAAGTAGTTCTGTATAAATTAGTTTAAGATCTCAATGAGTTCCGACTTTGGCCACAGCTTTAAATGACTTTTCCTTGGGCATAAACAGAGGAAGTAATGTTGATGGATGCATGATAAAATAAGCTTCAAGGTCATTTATGATTTGTGTGTGAAGGCCCTTAGCAAACGAATAAGAGGCAAGCTTTGAAGGGTCTATCCATGGCACTTTTGAAAGAACTGAGAAAAACAGGCAAAAGAACCATCAATCGATATACTTTGTCTTCCTCAGTGGGCAAGTGGTCTCTGAATTTCTCAAAACTGCTTCCATACTCTGCCAGAAGAAGAGGGTTGTTCATATGACATCTAAGCAAGGGCCAATTTGATTACATGGACATTTCACAAAAGAAAAAAAGTCTTACCTTACACTATGCTAAAACAAAGAGAAACAAACATCAAAATCTATCAAAAGCACAGACTTTCGTGCCTCTTGATTCTTCCCTCAGGTTGTCAAAGACACAACTACTTGCTTTCTTTCTGCATCTTTAGAAAGTTGACTTTCAGGCTCTTTTGCTTGTTTTTAAGTCAGCAACTTTCACTTTTAGAAGCAACCATAATGTAAACCCCATAATCACTCTAAACTGTCTGAGGTACCGGCTATTCCTTACAGGAATCAAAATTGAACTCTGAGTTGCAAGGAGGATTGGAATTTGGATCCCTTTTTGTCTTTTCCTCTACTTCAGCACCCCCACAAATGGCAGAACCTCCTAGTTCTTGAAGGTCCCGTGTTAACAAGGCCTCAGATTCCACTCTAGGAAGCAGGCTTTTTCTAAGGTTTGGTTTAAGTGAAAGAAAACAACAACTTTAATTCATTGATTACTTGGATATTCTCAACCACAGCACATCACACACGTCAAAGCTCCTAGCAGCAGGAAGTGGGGGAGGCTTAGTTTTGTTTTGTTTCTGGCTTTCAGCTGAGAAGCTTACTGTTCTTAACTCTAATGTCATACGGTCTTAATTTCTCAGCGCCCCAAACTCCCCAGTGTTCTTAGTTCTTAAATGTAGTATTTAATGATCTCAAATTAACTAAATCTAATTTAACAAATAATGAGAACATACCCCCCAGGAAGAGAATGTAAGAGTGAGACACTGTAAGTGCAGACTGTGGTGATGAGGCAGAGGGATTCCAGAGCTATTAGCCACAGCTGTGACCTTGTGCCATCTAAGTCTCAAGGTCATTAAGCTGAGGAGATTTCTTCCCTAGGGTCTAGAGAGTGAAGTATAGGGTGCAGGGTAACAGTGGCAACGTCTGCTTTCAAACCCTTTCCTCTGTAAAGGTGTTTCAGCTCCCCACTTTCTAGTCACCAACACTTGTTTACCTTGGTGAATAGCTCCGCTTTTGAATCCATGGGAGGGGTCCCGGTAGCACTGCAGTGTGAGATTCTGTGGACACTTCCAGTCTTGCCATCCCCATCTCCGATGCTTTGCCTTAGAGCACTACTGGGTCAGGCAAGCAATCAGAGAGAAAGCTGCGGTCCAGTTACAGACTTCCTGTAATGATTTGAAACCTAACCTGAACCCAGCATCGCCCTGAACACAAGCTAAATGCAATTTGAAGTGATTGAGAAGTGGTTTAGAAGCTGATTTCCTAGCTATGCACACAAAGGAGTTAAGTGCCACTTAGCTGAGAATGCTAATTCCAAGACCCAGGGAAGATGAGAAAGTGGGAACAGTCACATCTACGCCACCAGCAGCATGATTGTCCTGTCACCCTTCATCACTCTTTTCCTAACAAAATCATCCTCTTAAACCACAAAGAATGGGAAAGTGTGCTTGGCATGCATATTAACATGACTTTCACCGAACACATCCAGCTCACACCATGTAAAGGTGCAACTGGCACCTTAAGGTTACTTTGTAGGTTTTTATTTACATAGTCCGTATTTGCTGGGGCAACCATAAGGAGAGTTTAAGCAAATGGAGTAAGAATATGGCTTCAAAGAATTTATTGAAATAGAACTAGAAAAGCAGCAACAACTTCAATTTGTTGACTTCCCCTCGTTCCCAGCACTGTGCTGGGACTTTGCACACACTCTGTGATGTACCTATTACCTGATTAATGTACTGATCTACTACAGGGCCAAGTGACATGTCCTAGCCAGATCTCTTTGACCCTAAATCTTGTACCCTTTCTCTCTCTCAATTTCAAACTTGTTCTCTTGAATCTACGGTCTAATAGGAGGGGGAAAATGAGAGGGGCTGCAAGCTAGGGATGAAAAGTGAGCTTCCAGACATCTCTACCTCCACACCTTGGTTTTGAGAGTCATTGGGCTTGGCTCTGACTTTTGCACATCTGTAACACCCCTGGAGATACTGCTATCTTCTGAAAGTAGCTGAGCAGCAGTCTGAACTCACCCCTGTATTCCATAGCCCCTTGTTTGCTCTCAGTTAATTCAGAGAAAGTGGAAAGAGGCATTATATATCTGAATATATGATAAGATGTAGAGTTTATCCAGTATATCTCTAGGATTGGTATAGATGGGCCATATAATAATTATGTTTTCTTTTGAGAAACACTATTTTGATTTCCATGGTGTCTGCATTACTTTGTACTCCCACTATCAGTGAATAAAACTTCTTCTTTTCCCAAGTCCCTGCTAGCATTTGTTTTTGTTAGCTTGCTTGTTTTCTTTTTATGATAGTTATTCTGCAATTCACATTAAATTACCAATGATATTCTTTACAAAACTAGAAAAATCAATTCTGGAATACAGGAAAAAACACAAAAGGCAACTAGTAGTCAAAACAATCTTTAGTAGAGAGAACACAACAGAAGATATCAAAATACTCAACCTCAAATTACAGTACTGAGCCATAGTGACCATGGTCACACAGTATTGGCACCAAAATAAATACTCAAACAAATGAAACAGAATAAAGAACCCAGGAACTAACTTACACAGCCGTGGCTGTAGCATGATAAATAAAAGC